TTAACCTTATCAAAGTCAATTCTTTGTTTGATTCCAAAGAGATCAGGCTTGTCCGGTCATTCTTGGAAAGCCAAAAGTTTCTTTCCGCGAGACTTAACTAAACCATATGAATTTAACTATCTTTATAAGAAACAATCTGGTGGTGCTGGCCAATATGCTCGCATAACTGGAATTATAGAGGTATAAGTAATAGATTTTTATCATTAATATTTATTGATATTATTCATCGAGAGCCCTTAACCTTATCAAACTCAATTCTTTGATTCCAAAGTGATCAGGCTCAATCAGGCTTGTCCGGTTATGTAATGATGAAACTTTTCTCGTTCGACTCGTTCTTTCTTTCGATCCCCTCTCTGAGAGTATATGGCTATACGCATGCGCGAAACGAGAGAGAATGAAAAGGCCCAAATGAGTGCGTCCTTTTCTAGATAGGATTACCCCCACTCCTACAATGCGTACTCTAGTACTACTATCTCTATGCGGGTATCACTTGTGATTGGTCCGCCATGTTTTAGCTATTCCCTCCAGTTTTTCAACCGCATTATTTTCTAAATTTTGTATTCATGCTAAAAAATGCTCAAAAATTTTAACAAATTAAAAAAAAATGGTAATAAATAAATACTGTATACAAAATAATGTACCTCACATACAGATGAATTTTTTGACGATATGCAATTTTTATATTTGCTCTTTATACTGTCTACCCATTTTATTCGGCGTTGTGTGTCTCTGGGGATTATTTTCATAATATGATATGCATTTTTAAATGCATTATTGCAAAATGGTATTGTATCCAACCATATTTCTATAACTGTTTAATGTTTAATAAGCAAGCTATTAATTTCTATCAATGTATCTGTACGCTGGCTGTTACACCTAACCCTAAAACTGACATACTGTGGCAGTACTATTGAGTAGACTAAAACCGTGTATATCTCTTTCTCTCTCGCAGAATTTCGCTAAAATATGGCGTAATCTTTCTTATGGCGCCACTCTGATTATAGGCTCTCTATTGGGTACTAGGGACCCTCAAGTAAGGGATCAGACAACCGCGTGAAAGATGCAGATTGGCTGCCGCCATTAGTGGGATATTTCCGTTGGTTAGGTTAGTATGCTTTCCTTTTAGAGGACACACTCGATACAAACATCGTTCTATCTTTATCATTCGTTGAATGTTAAGAAGGATAGAACGACGTTTGTGTCGAATGTGTCATCTAAAAGGAAAGCATACTTAAGTAATTGCTGATTTAGTTGCTCAGTATTGTTTGTTTTAAGATGTAGATATTATACGTATGTACGGGGGGTTCGATAATATAGTTTATATATTTTTTAAATCATTGCGAAATGCAATACTCTGAAGTTCCAAATTGCAAAAATTTAAATAGAAATAGCCATATAATGCGCCATTTCCCGAAATCTCCCACAAGAAGAGAAAAATGAATAATCTATCATACCTCTGGTCGTGTCGGTTGAACACCTAAAAAGTTTTTATTGCCAGATTCGTTCGTTTCGTGCAAAAACGCGTCGAATGAGTGTATTTTTATCAAAATTTGAACTGAACGGGGTATTCTATACCTTTACCATCCATTTATTCTAGCT